ACACTAAAAATTATCCTTAATCCTTGATTCGTACTTTATGATGGTCCTCACATAGTGATGATTTTACCAACCTGAAATACAAGATTATCCGATTGATCGAGTAGAAGAAACTGTTCTTGAATATTTCCAGTTAAATTCTCGTATTTCAGTGAACGACGATTATGATGTGATGGATTTTCACTGTACTCAGAGTTGTTTTAATGGCCAATTTCATTCATTTATTTTTTTCAAAAGCCTTAACATTGCCAACTTTTCAACGAGGTAATTAACCTCTCAAGGTTTCGTTACTTTTTCAAGTGGATCTTCTCTCATTTTGATGTGGAATAATTTTTGATTTAACCCGCTTCAACGTCAACTGTTTCAAACAATTCATGGACAGTTTCTTCTGGTTAATCTCTGGTAAAGCTTTTGTGTGAATCTCTAAAAATAATTCAACGGGAGGTAGATTCTGATTAGAATTTTATTCAGAGTGTTTTAATCATATCGATATGCAGATGGTTCAATCCGAAGTGTTATTTCAGATTGCCGAGGAAACGGCCGCAGAGTTTATAGGTGGAAGACCGGTTCAATTTATTGTTTTTCAGTTGCTTTAATCGTGTTCTGTATCGTTGTTATTAAAAATTACATTGATTCAGACCGTCAACTGTTCCATTGGTACGTTTTAAGACTGCAGATTCCTGTATCCATTTCGTGATTCTTTAACTTTGTCTGGCATATTTTTTNATACATATCTGTATCAAGGATACCTATTGGTTATTCATTTTTATAATCGCTACAATAGTCTGTGCTTATCTGTGTTATGTTCATTGGTTTTTCTACTGAAAATTTGAAAGTTTGATGTGAAAATGTTTTTGTAGGCATATACCGTTTACAACTCCCGTACCTGAACATAAATTATGTGTTTTGGTACCGTTCCGAGACAGATTGTATGAATTGAAAGAATTCGCACCTCATATTGATAGGTTTTTGAGGCGACAACAAATTCCACATCATATCATCGTTCTTAATCAAACAGATGAGTTACGCTTCAATAGAGCATCACTGATTAATATTGGCTGGTATGAAGCTGATCGGGTTTGTTTATTCGCATTGTGTTCTCTTTAGTTGCATCAGAATTGTTGACGAGATATTATAGTCATAACGCTTTACAACATTTTCGTGAGGAGCAGTTTTTTTTCTGGTTTTTTATCAGATTGAACCAATGAAATTGAAGCCATCAGTAAACTAAGAGGTTCGAATAGAGGTCAGCATGTGCTGAGCAAAATTTAAAAAAAAATGCAGTGAACGAATGATGTTTGATCGTATTTCAGTTAAAATGTGATTACTTAGTAATGCACGATGTTGATTTACTGCCCTTAAACGACCAATTGAATTATTCATATCCAGGTTTTGGAGTGGTTAGGCATATCTCTTCACCGCAATATCATCCGAAGTTAGTTTCTTTATCAGTTCATCAATTAGTTCGTCGCTCACGACTCATTTTTTCGTCCGTCAGTTGTCTGTGTTATTTTCGAAGAGTTGCTATTGTGTGGTTTATCTGTCCTATTGTCAGTGCGAAAGTGATCGAAGAACTGAAATGAATGTAGCAATACGAAGAACTGTGATCGCTGTTCAGTGAATAATTTCATATGAAAGATTGTGATGTTCCAGTTCTTTAGTTGTTGAAATAATTAAGGTACAATTATACGAAATTTATTGGTGGCATTCTGATGTTAACACTTCATGACTATAAAATGGTGAATGGTATGTCGAACAAGTATTGGGGATGGGGACTTGAAGATGATGAATTTTACTTACGTTTAAGGTTGGTTATTCCTTTCATTGTTAGTAGTCATTTACCTTTTAAAGAAATTTCCACCAAAGGAATAGATCATCAAGTGATGAATTTGCCGTTTTTTCGTTCAGCAAATGTATGTGATGATTCAATTTAGAGACGCAAATTTAACAGCTCTTATGGATAGGCCGTCAAATTTAACTACGAACAGGAAGAACACTTTCCGACATATTCACGACCCACGTTTACGACGCAGAGATCGATTTGTGATTGGCGATCAGAAGAAGGTTCTATTACTGTTGATACTCATTTTTGCCTTTAATTAAGCAATTTTCGATGAATCATTAACGGAAATGAAGCAAGAATCGTTTAAGATACATTTGCCTGTAACAGTTTTCTTATGAATTTCATTAATTTTTCTTTGATTTGAATCTGTTGCAATTTCATCTTTTCTTGACCTACTATTTGCTAGAGATATATGCTAGTGTGGTTTAGATGTCAAGACGCCGCGATCGAGTAAGCGGTCTTGATTCGGTGAAATACCGTATTGTCTCTCGCGATCTACTTCGTTTTGGACAGAAAAATGAGGAGTCAGCGCTTGTATCTGTATTAAATATTGAATTGCATTGTGATGTCAAATGGACTCCTTACTGTAAATTACCTCATTCTATACGAAAACAGCTCAGCTGATGGTATAATTATGTTTGTTTCCATTAATGAACATTTGATTTTGAATCACTTTCTTATGTGTATCCTCAGTAGACTGCGCAATTCCTGTTTTGTATTGATCAGTCGTTGATAATCAATGATTTCAGCTCAAGAAATCGAAGTTTACTTCAAGCTGCACCATAAACGAATTCTATCAGTTGTGTATTTGGCTTTGTGCTGATGCATCTTGGAAAAAAAAACGCTTTTTTGGAGTGTTATGAAGCTTCGTGGTTACATTGATTGAGTGTGCACTATCCGATGCTTGGAAAATCTTATCATGTGTATATTAGTTACAAAATATCGCAGTTTCCGTCCTCTTCAAGAGAAAGAAACTTTGCAGCAATATTTCAGAATCAATATATAGAATCACTTTTCGTTTTGCATTTTATTTTCAAAAATAATTTCAATGCCCAGTGGCTTCTTATCGTTCTAATATATCGTATATAAGCATATAGATCAGCAGTCAAGATTATTTTTGAGTGTTCGAGGGAACAGTCGCCATTTGATTAACAATTGCCGCACATTCCTCCGCAATTCTTTATGAAGAAAGCAACGATTTTGTGGTACTTTAGCAGAATTACGGCTATTTCGGAGGAAATCCATATCCTGATTTTTGTCTGGTAATTACGAGTTTGAAGCCTTATTCGTTTGTTGATTGTTTCTTGTTGTGTGTTGTTGATTGGTTCTTGATTACGAAAATTTCTAAGCTTTACAATGTTCGATCCATTTTCATATTAATCGTATTTGTAGTTCGCTTTATCATTGTTTTTTTCGTGGCTACTGTGATATAAACATCGAAGTCGGTGCCATTTGCTGCGTATTTTGAATTTGTTTCGCTTTTTTAATCAACTTTTTAGAGTTTCATTCTGCCGCAACTTCATAACTAACGACTGTCTGATTTTAGAAACCTCATTGTTTCGTTGTGTGAAAACATTTTTGTTTTGTTCTCAACGCTTTTCCCAATAATAATCTCTTAATTAATTGTTCTGCTATGTTTGTGTCTTGTTCAGTAAACTTTGATAGTACGAGGTAAAAGTTCAGTTCTTAGCATTTTTAAGAGACTAATGATCTGTTTATATAGGCGTGACATCTTAAATCACTTTTTTTTGCTCGGTGCTTATGCGATTGGTGTTGGCGAACAAGTCCGCGTGATTTGATTGTGATGACGATTTGGTTAAATATTATTTTATAAATAATTTGTGTACACTATCAATATTACAAGTGAATAAACGCAATATTACAAGTGGATTGGAATGAAGCGGATTTTCGCAGAGGCGGAGCGTGAAGGAGGGAGTCCTGACCTTTTGGCGCAGAAGGGACGGGAAAAGCGGAGATTTCGGATATTTTGGACCTGGATTTTCAGAAGAATTGAGATGATCTGACCCATCTTCAGATGCCTGAGATTTATTGGATGCAGACGTGATGGAACGTAAGAACATAATTTTAGAGCAGAAACTATCCTTCTATATTTTATTCTACATGAATGGTTCGCATGCTTTTCCAGCTACCCGTTCACCTAGATTAACAACTCATCCAAATTGTAACATTGAAACACCTCAACATTGAAGCACCTCAACATTGAAACACCTCAACATTGAAACACCTCAACATTGAAACACCTCAACATTGTAAGAAAATGGATGAAGGGAAGCGAAAGGTAATCAGCGAAGTGAGCACGAGTGGAATAAAAAGCAGTAATGAGCGATGAAAAGGAACCGAAGCAAAGTTGTAACCATTGACCTGACGGGTTATTCATCAGACCCGTAAAATGTGATATTACTATCAGCACACTTATCAAACCGAAGACAATAAAAAGCGCCTATCCCACCGTCCATACTAACGATCATACCTTAATGGGGCTGGAGATATGGGATGAGACATGAATCATTTTGGAGGGCTTGAAACGTTTCCGGTTTTAAATTTTATCATCCTCCTTTGACAGGCCTTCGCTAACACAATATCCCATTTTTCCATGGAGTGTTTCAGTGGGAGATTTATGAAACGTGTGGAGGATCATTCTTTTACAGAAGGAAACTACTCCTGCGTTGATCACCACTTTTTGTATGGTAATAATATTTTTGTATGGTAATCCATCTCTAAATGATAGCGACAGCGAAAACAGTCATGCTAGTAGTTCATACGAGCAAAATGCTGTATTATACTGCAACAGCACTTCAACTAGTCAATTTTGCATCAGCTACAATAAACTGCGTTTTTTCCCACTAAGTGATACATTTTAATGAGACAGTTCCGTATGCTGTGGATCTACCCCCCTCTGAGTCCCTCTCCCTAGAAATCGTGGGCAATATGGGAGAGTAGCTCACACCTCTGTGCTTACCAGATCAATAATCCAAGTTAGAATTTCATGAATACATTATCGTTAGCTGCGCGGAAAGAAGAATGCCAAGGAAGGAAGAATGTGATATTAGTGATATTGGTGATAACAGAGAGGCATAAACTCGTAATGAGTTGCAATTGGATTTGCTGTTTAATTAAGTTCCATATGGCAAGAAGACTCTTATCAATCGTTCAAGATGGATTGCTACTGTGAGACTCTTCTATGGGAACATATCCGGATCGGCGTGGCACTACGGCGGCCAGAGTTTGCTTCCATTGTTTAGTGTAACAGTATCGAGCCAGAATTTCAACAACTTGATTGATCGACAACATCACATTGAACGTTCCACGATCTGTTCGTGTCATATTCTCAACTATTGGAAGTCGGCGCGCCTCAATACCGTAACTCTCTGTAATAATATTGAAATGAATAATCTGATCTATGCAAAGCAAATGTTTTGTTGCAATCTGATCTATGCAAAAAGTGCTTCTTTGCATTCACAAGATTGTACTGCATACATATGCTTTTGACACGTCATTCAAACGCTTCTTCTATAAAAGTAGCGACCACTTTACACGATATGCGATAAGAATATCTGGAAAAAAAAGATTACTCTTTCGGAGAATATATAGTTGATTCACAGGAAACGCTGTTCAACAAACCTGCTCTATCTTTTGACAGCGAACCCCTTCCGGTTTCATCAACCAGGCCACCGATCACATACGCTTCATTCGACGATAAACTTTCCAACGGCGCTAAACTCGCGTCTGGACTTAAGTATATCAGTCTTTTATTGGAACATTGCTAAAAGTTTGATAATGAAAATAAATTAGTGTTTTGCGACTGACACTGTTCAATAAATAATGAAAATCTAAAGCGACATCTGAATACATCAATATACTGAAAAATTTATCGACATTTCGTCGCAGAGTTATCACTGATACATCGCTTTTTAGCGAAATAAATTTCTCAAAATTCATCACTTTTCAAGAATTATCAATGCATCGTCAATAACAAAATAACCTTCAACAATGCCAGCAAAATAACCTCAATGTTTTTGTACATAATCGTCCACTTGAATGAATCAAAACCAGTCAATACTCGACGACTTTCACCTATGAATTTTTCACAAGGTGACAGCAGTATGGTAATCAATCCAACGTATCTTCAAGAACGATGTATAAATATCACTTCCGATAATTTCTCAAGTTCAACATGATATTGGCTTAAATGAAACTCTCCCGTATCGAAGCCCATTTGCCTAGCTATAATAAACGAAAAATGTACCGGAGTGTAATCCAACTTTATTTCGACTGTGAAGATACTTAGAAAATGGAATCTATAGCGATATCGTTTCATTCATTTTGTGGCTGTTCTTCGCATGCACTCAAAACGACTCATCCAAAGTTATGTGAACGGGCTCATATCAGTGACGATCCACAAAAAAGATAACATTTGTAATGAGAACACCTCTTTTGTAATCCCCAAACACGTCCCATTTGTCTGACCAATTTACATAATTCTTTATTATTCATTGCGTTCGTATATCCCAAATCAATGATCAAAGTCAGTTCCGAATCAAGTTTAAACAACTCCATATTCGCGACAGCTTTTCGCGAACGACGTCGTTTCCTTTCGACTTTTCGATGGAGACGTCTCCCTTCAACAGCCCTAAAATACTCTAACGCCGATATATTTGCCATCTTGATTTTGTACATCAAACCAATTCAGCTGAACAACCGTATTAAATTGAAGTTCAGAGAGAAATGGTATGTTTGTCATATGCTTATATCAGACTAGGCAAATATAAATCAGATCACTCGAGAACTTTTTAGGGGGACTGCTCCCCGAATTGATCCAAAGGTTGAATCGATCGGATCGGTGTCTACCGACCTTCTGCGTTCCCAAAAAATTGATGGCCATCAGCCGAAATCGAAATTGCTGATCGATAGTTGGTTATCAGGAACCGATCAGCATCTTTGGTTTGGCCATAAACCACTGTGCTTGAAATTTTCTTGACCCTTTTCCGTTCCGTCAGCTTCGTCAGCTGCCATGAAAAAGTGTAGGGGCTAATCACTCAATACAAAAACAATGTTCATAATCAAGTGACCTATTGTAACGCAGTTGCTTTCGTTTCAAATTCTCTTCCTTATTGCTTGTTTTTCCATTTCGATTTGACCTTCCCGTTGCTGTTGTTGTTGCTTCAAATTGGAGCAATTCATCGAACTGATCACAAAACTCAATAATCGATTCGTCATATTCATTCGAATCTTGCGGATCATCATTTCCATCGTTATCCACGTTCAAAAGCTCATCCATCTCGTCGTATGGCTCAAATACAATGGATTCATACAGAGACCCATCACCGAATATATTATCAAAATCCGAGGTAGATTCGTCACGCTGATCAGTACCGAGCATATTCTCATTCTGTTCATCACAGAAAAATTCAGATTCAGTAATACCATCGAACTGATCACCATAGAAATACAGATCTGTTTCATCATACTGGTTTAGATCCATTTGATGTTTGTTACCAAACTAAAATTCGACATTAACTTTCGAAATATCAGTGATTCAAATATGTCCAAGTATCGAAACCTTCAAATTAATCAACAGCTGAAAGAACGGATGAAACACCGTTTGAGATAAACTGGTATATTTTTGTGCTTGAAGAGCAATTCACTGCCACTAGCTGGATTGTAAAAGTTCGATGCGTTTTCAGAGCGATCGGAGATACAAAATCAAGTTACGCTATTTGGTGTCATCTGATTGTGTGCTTATTCAACCGGAAATCCAGGCAAAACTTGAGATCGTAGTGTAGAAATTCCCAATCTTATACTTGCGTAATGAAGCCTTTACATTTGATGACATAACAAAAGAATTCAAGTTCGAGAACAATTACATCAATCGTAATCTTCTTTTCCGTCATCCACACATCACGTGCTCTACTGAGTCACACATTGAGTGATATTAATTCCAATACTAACAGCAATCGTGATCATAACGTTAATAATCCCATTAACAACTGTTATTGTTCTAATGTTAATCGAGTTGATAACTGACAACGACAATCATAACTATCGCAGATATGATAAAAACAATGCGAATATGATCAACGATTAAAAACAGCTGACCTGATCCCCGTCATATGTTACTGACAACAAATTACGTAAAGAATTGCTAAATTTCAATCCATTGAGCTTACTCTCTTACCCCGCCTGTTTCCGTCAGTCACTCTTTCCTTCAGTATAACAAAAAAGCATGTTATGCACATCTTATCTGAATTCTAATCCGTACTAATATCGTCATTCTCATTTTAAAATCATTCTTTAATCTCATTTCAACATATCTCATTAAATCCGTTATTAAACATTAAACATC